TTCATTTGAAAGGAGGCAATGATTTCGTTAATTAGTTGGTGAGTTAAGGAGACAAAGACTGGATTCGTGAGTGAGTCGAAATAATCAGATAATGCTACGAAGTGAGTAAGACTGGCTGTGTATAAATAAATTCGCTTACCAGGATCTATTGTAAAATATAGAAATGTGTTCAATATCGAATCGTTCGCTAAGGATTCAAGTTCACACTGAGTGACGTGTAATATTGCCATCCAATAATGCTATTCCCAAACATTCAATGGTAGGATAGATAAATTATCTTCGAAACGATCATTGAGAAGGCGCTCCTAATAACTGAATTTAATGCGGTAGCAAATGAATAATAAGGAATATGAAGAATCCTGAAAAACTGAACACAGAATGTGCCCACACAACAAAACGCACAACTAGACACTGACCGGTATGGGGGATGATAAAACGGAATTGAACTCAATTAACTAAATTGTCGTTGGTTGGGTCAGAGTTAAAGAACTGTCTGTGGATCAGAAATTGATAAGAATTATAGGATAGTCAAGATCTCAGACTGGTTGACAGTAAGTGGAGTGGTAGCAGTAGCCAAAGTAAGAATAAAGACGAGTAATGCAATTTATATGGGGAAGATAATAAAATCTAGGGTCACCTTTCAATAAATTCTGCAACAATCAAACCAAGCACAACAATCTTAGCTATGTTTCGCAAGACCTTAAGAAAACTCAACATTTATGGAGGTTTGAATAGAGAGAAAAGCTGTGTCTGACAGAATTTCGCTTGCACAATTTTCAGTCATAAATTGAAGGAAAACAGTAGAATCAGGGAATTGTTCTGGAGGAATTCCGTTACAGCACGGTAGCTACCTCAGAAATCTAGAAAGAGAATAACATTTTTCGACAATGAATCAGTGAAAACAGGTGACAAACAACGCATTTAATATAGAACACGCACTGATAAATCGGTTGATTAAGTAAACTAGAACCAAAAGAAACACTATACCCTGAAAATAGAAAGGCAGCATCCTGAGTGTGGTAAAAATGTTAATAACACCAAGTGACCCTGACCTGTTGTCACCCAAAGTAATTTCTACGTGATTAACACAAAGTGGTCGATTCAGACGTTAATTGGGTATTAGAATAGGTGGGCGTATGTTTAGCATCTTGACTCCCATTTATAAACGGAACCAACAGATCGGCGCACTTGGACGGACTAAGAAACAGTCTGCAACATTTTGACGGACTTGACAGTCCTGACAAACTATCCAGCACAGCCGGTGAAGAGAACTGATTAAATTGTTCAGTGACTTACATCATGTGATTTGCATAACCGGTAAAAAAGTGTGATTACGAATTAGCATGGATGTACTTGTTGTGAGAACAGAAGGGATGAAGGGAACGCATCCAATAGGATGCTGGAGCTAATGGTGAATGGTGATGAGGCTGGACCACTAAAGTGGGTTAGTCGGTTACAGTTTGCAAAATAATGGTGCAAAACATCACTTTTCAAAAACACTAGATTGTTGAAAGTGTCGACATAAAATGACGTTCTTTTGGGCACAACAAGTCAATGAAACATTGTATTACGTTGGTACAACCGGAGATGAACTTGTGAAAGCACTTTGTTAGTTAAAGGAGTTATCGAACTCTCCGGTGAGAATCTGACGCACGATTTGTTCCGGACTCTTGCAGGTAGTCTTAGTTTTACTAACCAACCAAGAAGCTAAGCACAGTAGAACCTGCCTGAAACTGTCATGAAAAGTTAGGTTCCTAAAAGGTTGAGCCTTATTTAGACCTACAGCTCTGAATTCAAATTAATTTTATTCCTCCTAAGGGTGAGAACGACATACAACACTTCTTTCGATGGCCGGGTTGCATTCTACTCGTGGCAACTGACCTAGGACAAACCACACATTATACTAGAATACCATCAGCCACCGTGGTGAATTCACACAAGCAGTGTTGAGTGAAGCGAAGATAAACATTCGGCTCAGTCGTACCATTTGGTAATGGTTCTATCAAACTTATAAAAGTGACAGTCGTACAAGATTGTGCACTACAGAAAAATGTCTCGGTCACACTTGAGATATTGTGTCAGACAAATCATCGGTTTTCCTGGAACATCGTTGTGCACACATCAACTTGCCCCATCCATATTTGGACTGATGACCAGTCCAAATCGAACTTGCTTGGGGTAGAAGAGAAGGATCCGACGAACCGGCCTGTTACTGTCCCAAGGATAGCGTTGTATGTTAGGAAGCTGCGTTCATATGGTATCGATAACAAACTGGACTATTCAGGAGTATTGCAGTACAGCTAGATTAAACTCGTGGTGAGAGGGACAGGGTGACAAACGGATATGGTGAAATTCACTTCATAGTAATAATACACACTTCCTGTCGCTGCCTAGTGTACCCTCAATGTATGCATTTTGTTGTCCATAAAGAGAGACTGTCCTCAAAAAAGGTACACTCCCGGTTGGTCCTCGCAGTGGTCTCACTAGAGAGAAATTCTCTTAGTTAAAAAAAACGAAACATCCACCCGAAATTAGGTTGCGTTCACAAAAATAACACGTTGCCCAGAACGCAAGAAGTCTTTCGTCGTATGGTACATATGCTGTTTCTCTTCAACTAGGAGAATCTAGTTCATGCATGCGCATACAAAGTCCAAACCGCCTAGCGCCTGGCCGTTGAGGCGCTTAAACGATTATGTAGTATTCCGCAGACCTAAGTGTGATCGGATGGACACAAAGAAAACAAAATAGTCACAACAACTACGAGAATAGCATCTAGCGTGGCGAAAATCAATACGTGTGAACCCAGTCAGTTTGGGATAATTCCGAGTCGCCGTGCAGTGTTGAAGCGGTCGTGAATACGTAAGATAAGATGACGATCTGCCATGACAGATTTGTACAACGTTAGGTAGTCCACTTATGGACGACAATCGTCTGCATGTCTAGGGGAGAAATAGAGTGCTGAGCACCGAAAACTACCTGGTGACAGAATAACATCAGACATGAACAGGTAGTCATACTACTTACAGGCGTATGATAATCCCTCTGGGATCAATCAGTGAGGTCAAGATTGTAAAGGGCTATTTTGACAGATTTGCGTTGAATGACAAAATGCTTCAACGTGCCAGGACAGTAAGCAGACTTCGACAACCATGTTGAATGGTGGCTTCCTAAAGAGTAATTTTATAAAAATGCCTGAAACGTTTGATTTGCATTTGACTTCACTAATGTTAAAGGAAGTAGTGGAGTCGAATATTTCCCGTTATTGCCACTGCTGAGTACAGCAAATGCTCAAAGGTGTTCACATCAGCGGTAACAATGATCCATTTGAGTTATTGCATGAGATTGAGGCGGTGTGTGGAAATTTCCACTACGTGTGCTGATCATGCTATCGTTTAAAGTCTGCAAACTGTCCAGTACTAAAACATGTAGACTTTCCCTAGAAGATGGTGGCTTAAAGCTGTCTACACTGTCAGTGTCAACGGTAGGTGAACACCATCGACAGTGTTGGTTATTTAAGGCAGATTACGTAAGTATGGATCACTAGCAGCTGGATACAATTCTATGCCTTGCACACAAACAACCTGGCAAATAAAAGGAACGAGTCCAACGTGGGGCACGAAGTCTGCATTGTTTTAACATCAGTTAGACAGGCAGAAGACGGATCAATAAGTTCTGCTGGCAAAGGAACTAACAAGCATCCAACGCGCTTCAGTAGGTAATCTACCACAAGTAAACACGCTGGTAGTCCCTTCTCGGCACTGCCGCCGCCGTGCTTGGCGTCGGTTATCTGTCAATAGCTAAGGTTAGGATTGCTAGCTGCGAGAATATTTGCAAAAATGTCACTTTCAGAATTAAAATATCCAATTGGGATGTGCTACAGTGATTAGGGGGTTACATACAAACAACTTTAGGGAGGATCTAATCACCCCGACCTTGATCACTTAGCCCCGCCAGCTTAGGCAAATGTGCGTAATTTCATAAAATACCAGTTGTGTAACGGAGATCACTTGCGGACCTCTGAAGCCACCCTCGAATAATCGAGTCGAATGGTGAGGCAACTGTGAAATAGTGCTACCTTACAGTTTAACGCTCCATATAAATTCGTTAGGGCCCACCTCCCTGGGATCTTTCATTCATATGGTAACGGATGGTCTATTCACAAGGTGGATGTTTTCCTGGGGCACTCGCAGACGACATCCTTGAAATCAGCAGCCGAAACTTCGGCCGAATAAGGGAAAACATGGTTATCCATGGTGCCTTGCGAGTGCTCATGTCTGAGAGCAACGATGATTTCAAGCTGTTCCAGCCGTACATTAGGGTTTCTAGAATCAAACTCAGGTAGCATGACACTTGTTCAGTCCACTGACACTTGTTCGATAGCAGAAAGCATAGGCCGTTAAGGAGGAACAAACTTGCAAGGAAATCACTGTGAAAATGGTAAACGAGTTTAATGCATGACGTACCAAACCGTTCTTCCCAGATTCGAATTCACGAGACGTGATACACAAAAAGAGCGTTGATAACAGATCGACTATTTATTTGACGGAGTGCACAATTGATCTCATATTGCGCAATAAACAGCATCGAAGAAAGAGGGATGGGGCGGTTTGAAGCCGGTCGTCGACGAGCAAGTAAACCGAAAATGTGTGGTTTTCTAGTTAGTAACACAGGGCCACTGGACACGCGGATAAAATCGAAAAACATCATGCGGTCATTGTCGAAAACAAGAAACTAGCTGAACCTACGAGACCTGAAGCTAATTAACACAGCGATTATTAAAGCAACGTGGAATATAGAGCCGAATAAACCGTCATGTTAGAAAAGCAGCGATCAGGAAAATATTGGCATAAAAAGAACGTAATATGTACATAAATGGAGGTGCATAGCGCACGTGAAAAATAGGATGAGGGCAAAGAAAATAGGAAGCAGAACGGAGGCCACCGACAGCACCTACCGCGTAATTCCAATAGGTTGCACCGTCGATAAGAATTAAAAAGTCATGTCAGAGGTGGAATTTGAACCCACACCCACATTCGTGGACCAGAACACCCAGAAGATCACTCTTAAGTCTGCCGCCTCAGACCGCTATGCCACCCTGACAAGGCAACCGAGGTTTATATAATAACTGACGAATCAAACTGAAATAATCTTTCCCGAAATGAACTTGATAAGACACGCTAGTGGTGGTATGTTGCACGATCTTTGCTCGAAAAGATTTCACAGCATCTTATCAAGTGCATACTACAGAAATGAAGATTAAAAAATATGCACAAAGTTATCACTTACGGAGTGTTTTGCTCACTGTCGTGATCACCAACAACAAACAACCGGTCGATACGTTAAGGAAAGTTGAATTGTAGTCACGCTAACGCACAGTTTTCGATAGAGTTAGCAAAGGGTGGCTGTCTGTCGTTTTTGAATTTACTGATTCAATAAACAGCTGATGGCACTGTAAGACGGTCGGTTTACCGAAAGTCTACATGGACAGGACAGTACTTGCGCTATGATAGCTTTGTCCCAGTTCAGCACAAACGGGGTTTAGTTAGGACCTTATTTGATCGAGCTAGAAAAATCTGTTCAGCTTTTACAATCGACGAAGAGTATTAGCGTCTTGAAGACAAATTAGAAGCAAACGGCTACTCACAGTGGTTCAGAAGACGATTCAGCAAATCACAGATCAACAGCCAACCCCTTAATTTAGCTGAACCGAAAGCTGCATTCAGTCGACATCCTTTCAAGGGCGACGATGTTTGTTTATTTTTGAAAAGTCGATTAGTTCCTGCTGTCAAACGAGTTTTTTACGCGGCAAAAGTAGGTCTCAGTTTTGACACAACCAAAATGCAAACACCCATCACCAAGAGCCGCCTACCTCTACCACAAATCTCGCACTGCGTGTACCAGTATTCATGTGGGTGCAGGTACATCTGCATTAGAGTGACAAAGAAGCAAATGCAAGGCACGATGGCAAATCCTTTACCTAAATGGGTGTGCGACCGTGACAGGCAATCAGTTGGAATCTGTACGAATAAGGTCAAAGATCATTTGCATAAGACACCGGCTTCATCCTTTACGCGTCACGTGATCGGGAGAAATCACAAAGTTGGCAATCCATCGATATTCTCAGTCATCTTCACGCGCCGGAATAAATGTTTGCTTCACTTTGCCGAAACAACTGCTACTGAATGATTGAAGTCGTCATAGTTTGAGCAAAAGAAACTGTTTATTAAATTAGCATTATCTTGCTAACGTTAGTGGATTTATTCTCTTCCTGTTATCTGAACAAAACGCTCTATGTAAATGATAATTTCAAACGTATTTTATCATTTCTGCAGTATGTACTCGGTATGATGCAGTGAAATCAGTTCGAACAGGATATCGTGCAATATACCACTACTAGCTTGTCTTTTCAAAATCAGACCGACTAAAAACGAAATACCGACATGTCTTGCATAGTTTACGCATCATCCAAATCGACTGATCTACCTCATTAGTGATGTAGCCGACAGCCGGAGTTCGACTCGTCCTGCAGTGTGTCAACATTTTCGTCTGAAACATGTCAAACAAAGCACTAGCACTTTGACTGCCCGCGCCGGTTTGCTGAACGGATTTTACAAACAGCTGCCGTCTCGGGTAGCCTTCGTCAGGAAAGTGTTAGTAGACAAAATGTGTTTGAACAGTCGTAATATGTCTCAGGGTTGAAAACAGACGAACACATTTCAAATTTTGACTGGTCGAGTAAGGAACTAACGACACAGACAATATCGTCCTTACAGTGAGACATGCGGAAATAAACAGAAGCTAAATGATAACCTAAAAGTAAGCTTACGGCAAGAGAACGGAACAAACTCATGTGCACGACAAAGCCAAAGCATTAAAATAATAGTATCATCTACAGAATGAATAATATTAACTCATAACTGCAAACTCTTAATACCATGGTAGTAACAGGCTAATCACCATTGGATTCTTTATACATAGTGAGAGTTTTAACGGTGTGTCGCGGTGGCTTTAACAAACGGTAAAGTCTGTTTATTGCTCGGGCGATACAACACACGAAAAGCCTCCTCCACTTGAATTTAATGTCCTCTTTCTTCCCAACGTCGTGTGATAGAAGATTGTACAGCGCCGGTATTGTGGTTCACTAATCGTCTGGGAATGTGCTCTGAGACACGTATCCCAAGTGTTCTTACCGTTTGTCCGATGTACTTGACAACATAAGTACAAATGAATTCATAAATAAGGTTGTATATAGCGAGTGAGTTGCCTGAGTCTTTCCTGGGTGTGCAGGGCAGCCGTGTCGTCTGCTTGATCAGTCTTAATTCTGTCGCGTTGTACGCAGCTTTAAGAGCACAGTTCAGTCTACGTTGGATGACGGTGGTTGCATCCTCACCCTTGTATGGCAGTGTTATATATATATATATATATATATATATATATATGGGTTTGCTGGACAATGTTTCTGATACCGACCGTTCCGACCTATCTCCAACGCGTTTCAACAGAAAGCGCGCGGAGTGGCCGTTGTGCATCATTGATTGGCGAGTGAAAACAGATTTCTCCTCAATTGTCTCTGGTGGGCAAATCCTGCGAACCCTACTGGAAAGGGTTCGAATGAGACCGCGTCTGAGTGATGTTAGTGCAAAATGAATATACTTCCCCATCCAGGTGGATTCCCTACGCTGTCTTCTCTCGGTGGATCCACAATCTTTCACAGACATTTCCACATCCATGAAGGAAAGTTTGTTAATCTCCTGAACTTCTGTTTAGACTATTGAGTTGTTTACAGAGTTGGTCAGCATGTCCTCCTGAATTACATACAAAATATGTTGTCAGCATACATCGCTGTAGAGTAAGTGGCTGTTGTTGTCTGTCTTCCTAAATGCGCCATAAGAATAGTGAGTACCAGCTTCAGTAGATTTCCTATCGCCATTGAATAAAAACTGGTTATCCATAGTACACAGGTATGCGTTTACGAATTTCAAACAAACGTAGTATGAGGAATATGTTATGCTTCGTTGCAAAGTCATGAATAATGGATACCACTTCGGTCAACGGAACATTTGTAAAGAGTGATTTTATACCAGAATTTCCCATTATCTTGTCCTGTAGTTTGAGATCTTTTAGGGAATCAACAAATGAAAATGTGTCCTTTCTGAGCCGACGACTCATTCCTGTATTACGTCAATTTAAATCTGTGTCCTAAGCAGTAATAGTCCGTGTACTGTAACCGCAGAGACCGGTCGAACTGTTTCTGCAGATTACACCTTACGTAATTCTACTTGCTTGTTCTAAACAGATCCGCGGACATAACTGTTTTAGATGTTTCCCTGCTTGTTTGCCCAAAATAATGATCAGACTTAATGGTTCCATGGCAGACTTCTACACGCCTGTTAGTTCGTTTGGCCTGCGGGTTCCATTGCTGCTCAGCTCTTCAGGTCGCCTTGATTTACGTGTGATGTGTGTTGAGTTACATTTGTGAGGACCAAGTGAAGACTATGTATGATTCTCTGTGTGCAGGTAGCTGTGAGCTCCATCATTTGTCATATGATCGGGTAACATGATCCTTTCGCGTGGCCTTGGTTGAGACTAACTCTGATGCGAGTTACACTGTGCTGATCGGTTGACTGATAGAGTTCGGCGAATGTCAAGAATGACGTAACGTATTTTGTTTTAATTAGGCAGTGTAATCAAGTATGTAGGTTTAGCCTAAATTTGTCAATTACATCTCGTGATATATCCTTTCGCGTGCAAAGGATCTGCGTGAAGTTAATCTGAATAATTAAGTTGGCTTCACGTCAGTCAACGTACTGTAGACGAACTCCAACGATGCCCCACCTTAGTTGTTCTAAGCATCCGTACCTCAGGCATGTTAGTAGTGAGTTTTACCTTTTCAAATTATCATTCTCAATGCTAGGTAATTGCTCACAGCTTTCACATAGTCATACAAACAGTATCCTTTCGATACCGTTTACTTTTTGCTGCACTCATTATTGGTAACCTCGAGGAGGCGCATTTCCAACCTAATTTCTTCTACTAGTGTTGTTCGAAATGATGCTTTCAGTCTTATCCAGGATGCACTCAGAGGTTTTGGTCCTAAGGTCTGTGTAGTATGCAATTCTGATATTTTCTTCAAAATCCCTGGGTTTTCCCCACTCAGGAGCTCTACCACTTTGCAAGGTACTGGATGCGCAATTTAAGCTGAATAAATAACGAATAAACCCGACCCTTATCCTACCAGACATCAAACTGTAACCAATAAACAAATGCCAACCAATGTTTTGATCGACCCGGTCAGTTGCAGTATCCGATCTGTAATTAGGGGGCAGATTGACCTCTAGGTTACAACACCCTGCAATTAAGAAAATTCAGGGAAAACGTCTCCAAAGTGAATGGGAACACCTTGATATGCCGACTTTTAGTGTTCAAAAGACTCAAGAAAACCATAGAGAATAAATATGATAAAGTCGGTAAACAGTAGAATGGGTACTTTAAAATGCGTTACGTTTTGAGTGTGCCAAAGTAAGCCAAGTGGTGTTTCATGCTTACCAGTTGCGCAATCTTCAGTATGCATGAACCAGTGCGTCACAACTACTGTTACAATATTGACACTACGGGCCCTAACCTTCACCTCGAGCTAGCTGGGCACAGTTTTACAGCATACCTGTGATTCGCTGTTGCTGGTGATCCGGTGAGTGTCATCAGATGCAACGAATAGCCGGGGTGGCCCTACCGGCTCTGCTCAAGTGCGCCAAGAAAAGTAAAGGGTGGACATTTATATACGAATGACTATCAAACAGGAACATCTGAATATGCCGTCTACGATGCCACAATGAGATGTGTGTTGTACGAGGATTCAGCACTGCTGTTCGCATCACGCTAGTATCCTGAAATAAAAGTGCATCGTATTTCCTCTCGACTGCTCCAGGTCGTCTAGTTTAACTTTCATCACGTGATATCTTCAGCGGACCGTGTTTGAGCTGAGAGATTAAAATTAAGTGTTGTCATCCGTCATATGATTACTGTCGGTGACTATTCAACTGATCGGATTTCGTCCGAACCCACAATTCGTTTACGGTTTCATCTTCCTAAGCATCATTGGT